AGGCGAGGGGTGGGGCCAGCCAGTGGTGGGATCACCCAACAGGTAGCCACAGCAGAGGGCCCAAAGAGCCACATGTGGCTCTGGAGCCGCAGGTTGCCCACTCTGGAAATACTCCAGAGGGCAGGTAAAACAGCAGAATCGCCCTTTTCCTAGACCCCACTGACTGGGCGGGGGGCAATCAGGGCGACATGCTTGCAACAGGACTCCTCTGCTGGTATAATCCACATTATCATATATTCTTTCATTTGTCCTTTTTTTGTTTCAAATCTCAATAATATTGTATACATTTATGTATGTTCATCATTTGTACAGTTTTTTTAAAAATTTTGTCTTGAAACATGTTCAAGACCTGAAGATCTTTATCTAATTTTTTGTAATAATTGTACATCAAAAAACCATATATATATGTGTGTGTGTGTGTGTGTGTGTGTGCACGCACATTACACACACACACACACACTAGCAGAGTTGGAAAGGACTTTGGAGGTCTTCTAGTCCAACCCCCTGCCTCGACAGGAAACCCTATACCATTTCAGACAAATGGCTATCCAACATCTTCTTAAAGACTTCCAGTGTTGGGGCACTTTATTTCACATTCTCCATGAAACAATTCTACTCTCAGAGTAAGTTAACCATTTTATCTTCTGTAGAATGATTCATGTGCTGAAAGCCACAAAGATATTTTAAGACCAGTGACGTGCGGTGAAGTTTATACCTGGTGAGGCTCAGCTGGGCATCCTTTTGCGAAGCAGCTCAGCAGGGCAGCGGTCGGCCTTGGCGGGGGGGGGATTTGCATCGCGGGAGCAGCCAAGCGCCCGGGTCTGCAGCAAAGGTGCTTGGCGGCTCCCGCGATACAAAGTGCCCCGATGCCGCCGCCCACCCGCTGTCCCGGCCTGCGGCCGCTGCTTCTCCAAGCTCCACCGCTGGAAGTCCCGGATCACCTCTGGGGGAAGGCTGGGTGAGAATCGGAGCGAAGCTTCTCCGCGGCCTCCTGGCACTACCCAGAGGCTCTTGGAGCGTGTGCCAGCGGCCAGCGGCCCAGAGCGGCCCCGGCTGCGAGACGGCCCAGAGCGGCGGCCCAGAGCGGCCCCGGCTGCGAGACAAGGCAGTGCTTAAAGCAGCTGCTGCCACTGCCACTGCCAACGCCCCTCCTTCACCCGGAACGCGCGGAGGGGCGGTGGCGGCGGCACGGCTGCTTTAAGCGCTGCCTTGTCTCACAGCCGGGGCTGCTCCGGGCCGCCGGCCGCTGGCACGCGCTCCTGCGAGAGCCTCTGTGTAGTGCCGGGAGGCCGCGGAGAAGCTTTGCTCCGCTTCTCACCCAGCCTTCCCCCAGAGGCAATCCGGGACTTCCAGCGGCGGAGCCTGGAGAAGCAGGCCGGGGCAGCGAGGGGGCGGCAGCGATGGGGCACTTTGCATCGCGGGAGCCGCCAAGCGCCCAGGTCTGCAGCAAAGAGCCAGCCTCCTCCTTCTCGCCCACTCCTCTCTCCTCTGAAGCATGCCCCACCCAACGTAAGCATGCTCAAGAAGACATGATTTGCTGCTTCCAGATCAGGAGGCGGGAGAATTAGTGCCTCTTTTCCATCTGAACTTTTTTGCCTTTTAACTCTTTCTTAACTTTTACGAAAAATTCCTCATGGAAAAGAGGCCCCGAGTTCTCTCGCCTCCTGCTTTGGTTAACACTAAGCAGACACCAAGCCACTGTGACCTGGAATCTGGTAGCAACTATCTTGGCTATAATTATTTAAAAAAATATATTTAAATTTCTTTCTTTTTCCTGAGGAGACTGGTGAGGCTCCGCCTCCCTTGCCTCTAGTGACTGCACGTCCCTGTTTAAGACACAATTTAGAATTATATTTGGTCCATGTTCTCAATATAGCTTCTAACAACATGATTTTTAAACTCTACTTTAACCTAAATTTTGTCATAGCATAACTATCAATGCTCCCCAAATCTCAAGTGATTTTAAGACAAAAACCCTTCTGTTTCTCAGTAACTCCCATTCTTTCATCCTAACTAAACCAGCTAAAGAGCATAATCGCAAATTACGTATACCCAATCTTAATCTTTCTTTTGAATCTTGAATCATCTTATATAAAGTTTTGGTGTTTTTTGCCATGCAAAGTTTAGATAAATTTTAATATTTTTCTCAGATGTTTTGCCAACTGTGGAAAAACCACTCCATTTTAATCCCCCATCAAACAATTTTTGTTAAAAAATAGTATTAATTGCATGTCAATTTGAAAAAGAAAATACCCTTCATTATCCTCATTTAGGATATACATTCTGAATACTAGTCTTAATCCTATTAGTTAAACTTTCATCTCAATGTTATCTACCATGTTCTTAAGTCAATACAAACTATTTTAGTTGAGGACCCAAAACTTTTTTTAGGGGTTGATAAAATAAATTCTTCATCCAAATTTTTATTAATTAAATATTAAATTAAGTTTTATATTTTTCTGCCTAATATGAGTTTCTTGCAAACAAATAGTATTTTGTTTCAGTTTTTTAAAATAAAGAAAAAAGTTGCTTTGGGAGAGCATTTGCTCCAGTTATATTCCACATTAGACATTTGTAATCTATGGTCAAGCCAAGAATGTAGACAAGTCAATATCTACGGCACTCAATTCAGTATCATCTCTTTAAAAATCCTTTTGCATTTGCTGTAGTGATTGTAGTGAAGTCTGCCTTGAAATCTCCAGATTCCTGTTCATCCTTGCCATCTGCCCATCTGATTCCAGATGATGTGCAGAAGTGGATCTAGACCCCATGACTTTTGAAAAGTTTTTATCAGAACTTGGGAGTAAATTGTGGGCCACAGTCTGAGACCAAGGGGTCAGATAACTCATGTAAACAGAAGATACATTGTAAAAATTGTTGCGTCTTTGATAGGGGGCAGCCCTGAGACTATGAAATGAGCCATCTTTGTTAAAGTGTCCACTATCACCAAAAAGCCCCTTTCGCTCTTGTTAAATGTTATAAAGTTTAATGATACAGTAGTGGCCCAAGGATATATTGGGATGGGTGATGGCACCAAAAGCCCTCATTACTTGCCTGGTGTGTCTTTTGTTCTATGACAGGCTGAGCAGGTGGTGACATACCGCCTTGCATCATCCTGATCCATGGTAATCAAAAATCCCATAATTAAATTGTCTTGAAGAGTCCAAGAGGCCTGCAGGAAGTATGCACTAACCACCAGAATTTAAGAGTATCTACAAACATGCTGTCAATTCCGGGGTCAGTGCATACTTACATAGAATATCATGCCTTCTCTAAGATATATCTCCATGTTTCAAAAGCTTGACTATTTGCTGCTTCTACTAATACTACCCATAGTCATATCTGAAGAAGGATGGATTCTGATGCAAAAGCAGTCTTTAAAGCTCCAAAAACATGCTGTGCATCTTCATTCCAAATTAATGTTTTCCTGAGCAGTGGGCGGGGACAGAGGTGCAGTGAGATCTACAAAAGAATGTACATATTTTCAATAGTAATTGACAAAGCCAAGCAAGTCCTGGCAGGGTATGTGATGCCCACAGTATAAATACAACCCTCTCTGCAGCTTTGAGCCTTTCCTGTTTCAGTTGAGGGTAAGTACCCTGACCTGTGTGGTTTCCTCTGAAGATGCATGTTCAGAGATAGGCATCGATCCACAGGGAGACCACAGGCTTGAGAATATGTTGTTGGCTTAAGATCTAATATTCCATTACTGTAAACACCCGTCAATAGCTATAACCATGTTTCTTGTATCATTACAATTTATATGGTTTTATTTCCAATATGATTTGATTGCTTATTAGTAACCTATGACTATCACTAAGTGCTGTATCTTATAGATTCTTGATGAATATATATATATTTCTTTTTATGTAGAATGAGAGCATATGTACCAAAGACAAATTCCTTGTGTGTCCAATCACACTTGGTCTTCTATATGAAGACACAGCTATATTAATTCTTTCAAAAGATCTGGACATTCGGTTTTAGCTAGATCATCTAAAGTTTCATCTATCAAACCTTCTTTAAATAGATATATGCAGTATTATTTTATGTTAAATTCTTAGAAATTAGCTTAAATGTACTTACATATTCAGCCACTGCGTGGCACCCTCGTTTAAATTCCCAAATGTGGTGATTCCTGCTTTGAGTTTTTATGTGACCTATCTATATACATAGCCCCAAGCTGAGGAATGAATTTGGCACAGTTGTCCAGCAGAAGTCCAGTAATGGGGTCACAAAAACAAACAAACAAAAAACATCTTTTGAGAATCCCATACCTAAAAATCTGACAGAGAATATGTTGCATCACACAGAATTCACTATTTTTGAAAGGCTTTTTTCCTTCAATGGCTTTAGATTTATTGTCCAGGAGCAAACCCTGATGTTTAGCTAACATTTTTTTACATTGTTTTACTGTGCTACACCAACCTTAATGCTATTATCCTCCCCATAAACTTTGGGAACAGTTATTCAGAGGAGAAGAAGAGCAATAGAGAAGTGCAGAGGAAAACCACTCATTGAGGACTTGGTGCAAAACTAGCTGAGTGATATGTGGCGCTAATCAGATTTGAGTCATATTTGGACTTAAAAAATAACAAGAGGTTGCTCTCTCCAAAATCAATAGGACTAGGAAAAAACACATTTTAATTTATGTTCATCTTTACAATTAATATTGTTGATTGTTCCCTATCAATGTAATGAGTTTCACTTTCAGTCACAGTGAATCTATCATTCTAACAGAAGTGCTCAGGAAAGAACATGCAGGATTTGCATTTAACTTTTGGCCTGTGGACTGAATTCTCTGTATGAGCCAAGAGGAGAGAAAGAAAAGCTTAGTGAGTTATTGTACTTTGCCCTCTGAAGATCCTGAACTTTACCTCCAGGATTTATATTTTTCTGCCAGAAATTTTGGTGAACTGATGTCCGATTAGAATGGGAATAGGATTCAGGGTCTGGCCTGCATCAACTTAGGATCAGAAAATTGCTCCAGAAAGACTGCACTCTGTAAACATTTTATTGGGGGCAGGGGGGTCTGGGGTTAGTCTACTCTGTGCCTCACTGTGACATCGTCTTCTGCAAACGCTGGCAGCCGGGGCATTTTCCTTCTGATTGGCCCCGCTGCTTCAGCTCCTCCAAAATGGGTGCCATTGCATGTTCAAACATCTTTCTCAGCACCTCTGCATTCACAATGCTGTAGCTGTGGGTGGGAACCAAGAGGTGATAAAGAAGAAAATAAAAAAGATGCCATTTGCACAGTCATTCAATGTAGAAAATATGACAGCTTTAAATCTTGAAAGAGAGAGAAACAGCCAGATAAAGCGTCAAGGAAGTTCCCTCCATGCAATGTCAGAAGAGTGCAATTTGCTGCACTGAAAATAACATAAATATGACACAGAAGCACTGGTCCAACTTAATATTGCTTTAGGACAAATTCCATTTTTCCCCAGAACTGACAGGATGGTCTCAAAATACTTATTAGAACAAAGGAGGGGAGGTAGGCAATATGTATGAAACATCTAAGCAGCAAAGAGAGTTTTAAAAAGCAATCATTTTAAAACCCAACTCTTCTTGATTCTTTAAACATGCATGCCAATTACATGAGCTTTAGCAACTTGCTTTTTTAAAAAATAAATGAAAACAGATGTTCTCAGGAATCTAAAGCCAATGCCAGATACTGGATTTTGTAGAAAACTGCATTTTCAGCAGCAGCCAATTAACTGTTCATGTGAATAGTCAATTCATTTGCTTCTGTAATACTGAACCTTCTCTTCTGTGAACTGGAAAACTGCAATTACCTGCTGGTCTATGAAAGGAAATCTATAATATCAAGTCAGTCTTTCTAGCTGACATATTGTTCATAGGCTGCTTAAGCAAAAAATTTGGATAGGCCTTGAAAGAAAAATCCTAAGAGTTTATAGCTGTTCTGATATATCAGGCCCATCCAGTAAGAAAGTATTTTTCAATCTTGGCAACATTAAGCTACATGGATTTCAACTCAGGCTCAGGAATTGTGAACTGGCTCAGGAATTTTGGGAGTTGACGTTCATACAGCTTAGTTACCAAGACCTGACTTTCTCTCCCCACCCCCGCCTCTCAAATCTTGGGTGTGAGATTTTTGTGCCGTTTGACTGCTTGTAGATTGGTTTTCGTTGGATGAGATTACTTTGGGAATTTTAATGTTGAGAGTTTATTACACATTGCTTTCTCTTTGTGTACACTACCCTGTGTCAACTGGGAAGCTATTACATTGATTTAATCAGTCAATCCATCATGCTAAGTCATAATATGGTATGTTTGGTTTTATCTAGCTTTTGTGGCCCATGGAGATTATAAACCAGAGCTTATACCAAGGCCAGCATCCATCTGCCATGCCAAAAACATCCCAAAATGTACTGTCACACTTTAAAGACAGAATACCAAATTTCTATGGTATAGATTTTGAATCAAAAAGAGAAAGTAAGTCTGGGAATAGAAGCCAGAGATCCATAGATGAAATAAATTTTTTCTCTTAACAATTTCAGACACAAGAGGAAATCTCTCTGGTATAGCATCTGGGATAAACAAGTCACCGGAAGACCTGTTGCAACCACTAGTAGGCTGAGAAGTCAAGCAACAGTACAGGTCCATCTGTGGTTTATGGCTTACAATAGTAAGACACAGACTAATCTAATGCTTTGTTTAATAAACTGTAATTAAGCAAATCATTGCTTAGTGGTTTTATGACACTGCCCTGAGTGAAATCAAGGAAATCAAACCTAACTCTACATCCTTCCTTAGTCTAACCTTCTGATTCTCATTATCAGGTTGGTCTGTATTCTTCAATTCTGACCTACAGGTTTAACTAGGTACCTGGAACATCTAGCACAATTAGGAGGAGGCCGGTCAGATGCTTCCATATTCTTCAATGTTGCAAGATGTCGAGATATGTCTTTCAGGAGTCCATCCAGGTCTATCCGGATCTGAGTGAGTGATACTGATGCCCGCTTTGCCCTGGCATAAAAGAAAGGGAAGACAACAGCTGTAAGTGCAACAGCGAATTTCCACAATTTCCAAATTCATAGACCTATATCAGCTCAGAGAGACATATATTTTGCCTGCCACATGGAACAATAGGCTTTCTTATCTGGGGAGCATGTCTTGAAATTGGAGCAATCTCATTTTACACAATCCTCTCACATCATAGGTTGACTGAAGAATGGTGATTTTCTGATTTGGAATATTTGTCTTCCAGGAGAAGCTGCACACTCCCTGTTCCTTTACATTTTATTCTCTCTTACTCTTTATTACAATGGGGAAAGTGGGGGAGCTGGATGAGGGATTTCATCTGGAAGTGGAGACTTGTCAAAATAATGCTGGAGGATTCCCACGCACCCTATTTATTCTCAACCTGATGTTTGAATGTTTCTACCATCTCATATTTTTGAAGCAAAGAGAGGTAAAATTAAATGTACACTGTTACAGAAGAAAGATCTGCTGAAAAAAAGGCAGAGACAAGGGATCATTGGGAAATTAATGAAGCTTGCCCTTGGAAGATCCACAAACATTAGAAAGTTTCACTTTTTAAAAGAAAAAATACAGTAATCAGGGCACTAACTACTAATATACTAATATTCCCTACAGATGTGTAGCCCATAATACTTCATCAATACAAAATGAGGATCATGGAACTTGTAGTCAACTTTCCTAAACTACACCTCTATGGGAGAAAAAACTCTAGTATAAACCCCAGCACTACAAAGACTTGCTATCATTATCTAATAATAGACCTCTAGTTGAACTGGAAAGATTATCTCTAAGCAACAGTAATCAATGGTTTGTTCTTGACTCCATCATCTCTTAAATCTGGTCCTTCTTTCACTGGGAATAAGAGGCCACAACTCAGAAGAGAACTGGAGATTGGAGGAGAGACATGGCTGTCCAGCTTCAAGGGAGCCTCTTTCCTCAAAAAAGGCACATACGCAGCAGAGACTTCATCCAGTTCTTCCCTCAGCGTGCTAAGCTCCTGGCCTTGTTCCACTTGTACCCTGTCCCTCTGGGGAAGCACTCCCTCCAAGCATAGCCCCAGCTGGGCCAATAGCCGCAACACCTCCTTCTGGGCCAACTCCAGCATGCATTTCCTAGAGTGGGATGTGATAGAAAGAGACCAGGTTGGAGGATATCTTGTTGCCTCTACCAAAATCAAGGCTCCTCCCCTCCCATTCCCTCCTCAGAGAAGTCCCAAAAGAGCAGCAGTGCACTACTGGAGTTCCCTCTTCCCAAAGATGGGTGACCTTGGGGATGTAGCCATCATGCTACTTATCAAGTACAAAAGTTGTTTGGAGACCCCACTCGCCATCCCCTGGTCCACCAATTGTCACAAGGTCTTACCAACGAAAATCTTCTACTTGAACCTGTTGCTGTAAGTTACGCAGTTTCTCCTAAACAGAGTGGAGGACAGAATAAGTGAAAGAATAAGATTAACTTGGGGTATTGAGTTTATGTGCTGTTCTCTTTTCCAATTAGCATTCTGATAGAATAAAATGGTTTAGAATTCATATCCACATAGAAAGTAACAGGAAGCAACAAAGGCAACAAAATATCTTTCTCCAACCTGGCATCATCCAGATGTTATAGATCACAATGCTCTTAATTCCCAACCATATAGCTGGGTTAGCTAAGCAGTCCAGTTGTAGTAGTCCAATATCTGGAGAATGCCAGCCTGGGAAAGGCTAACATAGAACAAAAGTATCCTTGCTGGTGTGTGTGTGTGTGTGTGTGTGTGTGTGTGTGTGTGTGTGTGTGTGTGTGTGTGTGTGAGAGAGAGAGAGAGAGAGAGAATGAATGAATGAATGAATGAATGAATGAATGAATGAATGACTTTAATTTCACTTGGAGGCATCTGGCAGGGCAGGGATCAAAGAAGTCATCATGACAGCTGTAATCACTTGATTAAATCCATTTTGTTATGTATATTGCAACAAGATTAAAACTGGGCCAGAACTCCAATTAGGTGATTCCAACTATCTTATTTAACAGGCTGATCTTATTTAACAGGCTGATCTGTTCATCTTTTCCTTCCTGCCCAATGGGCTGCTGGAATAATTAGCCACCTTGGCTTGGCTTGGTTGCAGATGTGATACACAACTGGGATAAAGCAAGAGAAGGAACACATTGTTCATCTAAAAGTGAACCATTATAAAAGGCAACTCAGCAAATCCTGAGAAGGATGCAGTCTTGTGTTGCTTTCTTTGTGAGTGTTGGTGATGAAATCCAAATAATTCCAAACCTTTTGAATTTAATAAGAGGCTAAATGAAAGGGATAAACTGCAGGATTACTTACAGCATTTAAAAAAGGGGGACTTCATTTGCCACTAATCCGAGGATGGGCAAGATGCAGAATTTGTGCTAACTTTTCTTCCTCCTCCTTCTCTTCTCCCTTTTATTAAGAGTCTACAGAGGTCAGCAACTAATTGAATGTGGCTGTCTTGACAGAACCATATATATGCAGATAACCCACCAGGAAATGATATGACCATAAATAACTATAATGATTAATTAGATTTCTACCCCAACTTTGAATGAGAAACTCTAGCTGGCAAGCTTACGTCTAACTCCTCTGGTTCCTTCCAGGGCTATTCCTTTCAGGGGACTGGGCTAATAGAGTAAAGGACTGGCCCAAAGACCCCCAGACCCTCCTTCCCTCACCCCAGCCTCCTCAAAGGGATGTGGTTGAAGAAACCAACCATATGTGCTTCTTGGGGTAAGGAGAGGGCTAGAGCTACAATCTCTTTAGTGCCAGTCCAAAATTAAGCCCTATACAATACTGGTGAGACTTTAAAAGCAAAATCTCAGAAAAGGTAACCACAAACCATTTTCATATTGCTATTTTTTAAAAAAACTATACCACAAGAAATCAAGCATGGTTGAGGGTGCTTATTTCTCTTGTGCGCAGCCCCTTTCCAAATTTTCCAACTATCATCTTGTGCATAGGTGAGCCTGGGAGAGCTTTGATGATTGATAGCGGACCTGAATTATAATCTCCTTGATCCCTAATAGGGAATGGTTTTCTTCTGCTAAAAGGTTTGTGTTTTGTGGTTGTTGTTGTTTTTTAAATTTGAAAGAGAATCCCTTGATAAAAATGTAAAAAGGGGAAAGGCTTAAAAGAGACAATGGGCATCCTCTCTCTCTCACCTCCAACTGGGCTGAGTTTTCTTCCAGCACGCTGGTCTTAATTTCAGCATCCTCCACAGATTTTGTCACCTTTCGGCAGCTTTCCTTCAAGAAATTTCAAGGGAGGGGGGAAAAACTCAAGTGGCCCAGCAAGCAAGCAAGCAAAAGGAATGAGCTAATATGGATTTGCGTTCAATGCTAGCCATCTCCTTTTCTATAAAAGTCTTACCAAGAAGTTAGGGCAAGGAGGAGATTGAAAATTCTCCCATTTCTCTCTCTTTTTTTAAATGACAAATCTGATCACTTGAACTTCTATTAAAGGACGAGTTCGATATCCATTCCATTACAGCATTGGAAACAAACATGGCACCTCAGTAATTTTCTCCCACATCCAAATCTCCATTCCCAGGGATTTCTTTTTAAGGAAAACTATTTTAATATTCCCAATTGTCCCTGCCGTTTCACTGAATACATAATAAAAGCAAAAACAAATCTTTAATTCTGCTCCTAACCTCTAAAAGCAGGCACTGTACCTGCTGCCTAGTGTGCCCTGAGCTTTCTGGCAGCATTTGCCCATGTTCCATGCACTGTTTTCTTCTAGAGAAGAAATGTACTTGGCAAAGAGGTCTGTTTCAGCCATCTGGTTCTGCAAAGCTGATGTTAACTGTCTTACAATGGAGCAATGCCCTCTTACAAAGAATATCACATTATCATGAAACGTGCATTGATCCAGGTTACCTGATGAATCACTCTGTCCAGTTAGGACAAGCCCATCCTACTGACATCAGGGCCTACTTCAGAACTCATCAGTCAAAGAACTCTGACTATCAGGATCCGAAAAAGACTCTTCTCCACTGCAGTGCCCATCCTTTGGAACACCTTATTGTCTAGGGTAAGTTTTATCCACAGCTTCCTATCCTTTCATAAGAGCTTGAAGACCTGGTCTGCCGGTTGGCCTTGAGACCAAATGAGGGGAATTCCAGACTGGAGGTGGTTGCTGAATTGATGGCAGACTCCACCTCCCCTCCCCCCTTGCCCTCTGCTCTCCACCCACCCATTTTTGGTTATCATATTGATAACTTTTTATTCTCTTGTGCTTCTTTTTCATTGTTTATTGTATGAGTTATATTATTTTACTTCTGTTCTGTTTACATTCTTTTCATTTGTTTACATTCATTTGCATTTCATTACGTTCTTTTCATTCATGTACCCTATGACTATCATTAAGTATTGTACCTTATGATTCTTGACGAATGTATCTTTTGTTTTTATGTACACTGAGAAGGATATGCACCAAAGACAAATTCCTTATATGTCCAATCACGCTTGGCCAATAAAATATTGAATTCTATTCTATTCTATTCATTTTTATTATTGTAAGCCACCTAGAGTAGCCCCACATGAGAGAGGCAGCAAATAAATGTAATAACAAATTAAATAAATAAAATAATCATTGCATGTAGAAGCAATAGCTCTGTGACAATGCCTGTAGTGTAGACTTCAGAACCAGGATGGGGAAAAATAGACTCAGTCTGAAGCCAACCACGATAATGTTAATTCAAAAGTCAAGGAATCTTTCTTGACCTATGGCTCCTGTTGGAAGATAGCCAGGAAGGATTTTGCCTTGAGAAAATAAGTGCCTGCAAATTAGTTTGGAACAAATATATTTGGTTTGTGGATAATTGTGTTAAGACTTTGTATGAATTATTCCATTTGCTTATAATGTATTAATTGTACGCTTACTCCAATGGATTAAGCAGTAGAAAACTTAAGAGTGTGATCCCACAGGGCTCCAAGTTGGTTTCTGGAAGCCTGATATATTTTACACAAAAAGCCATATCACTGTTAAAATTCTCTCATTCTGCCTAAACAAGCAGCTGTGAGCTTGACCAACGTTTGGAGCAGGGCCTGATAGGAATCTAGTTGGGTAAATGCAAACCCATAGCTTATACATCCAAAGCTGAATTGTTGTCAGAACTTGCTCCCACACTGCTGGGACATCAGCAACCAGTTTTTCCAAGCAGAGCTCAAAAAGTAAAGCCAACCAAATGAGGCAAAATTAAATTGAATTAAAAATTAAATTAAATATGATTTCACAGGATGGACAGGATTCCCTCAAATTGGCCAAGTGAGTCAGACTGAAGCATTCTTGCATTGGTAGCCCTGGGAAAGAGACTAATTCCATTCTATATTCCTGAGTATAAAAGCAGAACGAGAATGGTGAACCTGAGAGTCTAAAACTTCATTTACATAGTAGCCTATACAAATAACCTATAGCTCCAGACCTGCAGATTCTGAAGATGGTGGGTGACCTTGGATGTCTTCTCTTTGAGGCTAGTGATAGAATCCTTGGCTCGTAAGAGGCCACTATTACTCACTTCCTGCTGGGAGAGAATGTAAGAGAGAACTGATCAAGCAAATTATAACCCACTTACTTCTGACTAATACACACTTCCAGACATTTATTTCAGTCTCTGATTTTAAAATGGAGGGGGGGGCAGCTTTCAGATATGAACACCACACCCACACAACAAGGGGTGGGATTCTACCTATTCGGACAGGTTCAGGCAAACCAGTAGCCCTGAAGATCAGCTGAGAGCAAACAGGTTCCCTCTGACCTTCAGTTTTGCTTTCAGCTGTTCTTCTGAGCTATTGGTTCACCTGAACTGGTCCGAATTGGTAGAATCCCATCAAGCTAATTCCCTGCTTGCTTACCAGCATCATCTGAAAAACATTCTCTATATCTTAAGAGACTTAAGCTGGGTCTTGTTAGGGATCTAAAAGTTAATTACTGATAGTTAGAATCTTTCAATGATAGAACAGCCAATAAAATAGAAATTAAGCTTGTATGTACAATATACTTTACATAGCTGGGGTTTGGGTCAAGGCAAAGAAATATTTGGAACAATATAAAAGGCCATGCGGGTGTAGAAAGTAAATGAAGAAAAAGGAATGGCACAAATATAGAAGTCGTACTGCAGAAGAATAAAATCTCCAAGAAAAGCCCTTTTCAGGAAAAAATATACAAATACATTGTTAAATTCAGGGTTGGTTAAGAACATGAAGTTAACAATAAATTTTAAAAAAACTAAGATAAACATCCAAATTGCTTGCCCAAACAAATGCTAATACCAACATAAAGAAATAGGAATTATTTTCTAAAATGTTGTAGGAGGCCCACAGATTGGATTATTCTTTAAAAATACAGTGTTATGATCCTCTGGCTCTTGAATCAATTGCAACCTCTGACCAGACATTCAAGATGCCCTCAGGAAGCATTCCTGAATTTGCAAAAGCATTAGTAAGGAATTCTTTGTTTGGCTTAAACCTTGGTTGCTATATATTAATACCAAACTAATTTTCCTCTGAATCTAGAATGTGGAAGAGAGAATAGCAGACATAGACAAGACTAGAAGTTCCAACAGGAATGACCCTTTCTGTTCACTAAGGAAAGATGAGAGACTTGGAAGTAACATCTTTAAAGTAGAATGTGGACTGAAAAGATAAACTAACTCAAAGCCCATCAAAAATACAAACCTTTGGGGGGGATTTGTTGAAGGAAAACCTTTGTCAATTATACCATTAAAAAGGAGTTTTATTAAATCTATTTGCTTTTTTAAATATATATTTTTGTGGCTCCTTCTGTAATTCTATTGGAAAAAGATGAATAGGCACAAAAAATTAAAAGTGCAAAACATTTTTTTTTTGAAAATGTGAATAAACTAGGAAGATGGTTGGCATATAAACTGAAACAAGAAAGGGGAAAAGAGATACATCAATTAATCAATGAGAAAGGAACTTCCATTATCAGAATGAGGAGGAAAAGAAAACCTATAATAAAAAAGTACTATGAGAAACTATATAAGGAGAAAATTCTGGAAAATAAAATACAACAATATTTGGAACAATCGGAACTCCCTCAAGTACATGAAACAGTTAAAAATATGCTTAATGAAGTAATAACAATGATGGAATTGACAAAAGTGATTAAGAGACAAACGAATAATAAAATACCAGAGCCAGAGGTGGGTTCCTACCAGTTTGGCCCGGTTCGGCCAAGTAGATAGTAACTTGGCCTGGTACTGATTCTCTCAGCAGCACCATAGGCAATGCCATCTTGTTTTTTGCTTCTGCGCATAAACATTTTGTTAGTACTGCACATTCATGCATCAAACACATCAAGTGTGTGCGCAGTGCGTCCCTGAGTGAACTGGTAGTAGCAGCAGCCAGAACCCACCCCTGACCAGGGTCTGATGGGCTACTGGCAGAATTTTATATACAACTAGAAGAGATATTAAGCTTAGTGATGTTGGAAGTTTATAATGAAGTACTGCTAGAAGCAAAAATACCAAATTCATGGATGGAAGCAAATATTACTCTTATACCGAAAGATGACACAGACTTAACGCAGATGAAGAATTACAGGCCAATATCTTTACTGAATGTGGATCATAAAATATACGCTTTGATAATAGTAGAGAGATTTAAAAAATACTTGAATGAATGTATCCATTTAGACCAGAATGACTTTTTGCCAAAGAGACAGATTAAAAATAATATGAGAATTATTTTAAGTACAGTGGAGCATTATGAAATACACCCTGAAAAGCAAAAGATGTTGATGTAAAAGATGCACAGAAAGCATGCAACAACGTTAATTGGCAATTTATACTATTACAATTAAAATATATGGACTTTGGTGAGAGATTTATTAATATGATTAAAGCAATATGTTACAAACAATCAGCTAAGGTGATGGTAAATGGGGACATGACAGAGAACTTTGGTATTAAAAAAGACACTAGACAAGGATGCCCACTGTCCCCGCTGCTATTTATATTGACTTTAGCCAGGAATATTTGACAAGATGAAGAAATAAAAGGAATGGAAATTAAAAAAAGAGAAATATAAGCTATAGGTGTTTGTAGATGACTTGATTTTTATATTAAAAGACCCCTTAGAAACCGGACCGAAGCTAATTAGAAAGATAGAAGAATATGGGGAAATTGCAGGACTAGAAATAAATAAAGACTTTAGTCTTGCCTTTAGAAAAGATTTTAGTTAAAAATCTTACAGATACACAAAAGAAAGTGCTGATGGAAATAATTAATAAATAGTCAAAAAAGTAAAGTACTGTATTTTTCGGAGTATAAGACACATCAAGGTTTTGAAGAGGCAAATTTTTTAAAAAGTAGGTAGGTAGATAAGAGGGATAGAGAGGGAGAGAAAGAGAGAGAAATACAGTAGGTAGGTAGGGAGAGAGAAAGAGAGAGTGAGTGTAGTTAGGTAGGTAGGTAAAGTGGGACAGAGAGAGAGAGAGGAGAGAGAGAGAGAAGGTAGGTAGGGAGAGTGTGTAGGTAGGTAGATAGGTAGAGGGATAGAGAGAGAGAAATAGAAAGAGAGAAAGTAATACAGTAGATAGGTAGGGATAGATAGATAGATAGATAGATAGATAGATAGATAGATAGAGGGATAGATAGATAGATAGAGGGATAGATAGATAGAGGGATAGATAGATAGATAGGTAGATAGAAATACAGTAGGTAGATAGGGAGAGAGTGTGTGTAGGTAGATAGGTAGGTAGAGGGATAGAGAGAGAGAAATAAATAGAGAATGTGTGTGTAGGTAGGTAGGTATACATACATACATACATACATACATACATACATACATTCAATAGGTGGGTGGGGGAGAGAGTGTGTAGGTAGGTAGGTAGGTAGGTAGGTAGATAAAGGGATAGAGAAATAGAAGGAGAGAGAGAAATACAGTAGATAGGTAGGGAGAGAGAGAGTAGGTATGTAGATGGAGGGATAGAGAGAAAGAGAGAGAAATATAGTAGGTAGGAAGGGAGCGAGTGAGTAAGTAGGTAGGTAGATGTTTCCAGGTGTATTTATCCATGTGCTGGAGAAGGAAATGACTGAAAATCTACAGCACCTAAGACTTTGTGTTTGCTGGCACAGCACTTGATCAATGTAATTCTCAACAATCAGCTAAAGAGCTTTCCAAAAGGGAAAAAAAAAGTTTTTGAACTCTGCAAACCTCCCCAAAACGGCTCATTTTTCGCACAAACAGGCCTGTTTTTTCTTCAAATAAAAGGCATGAATAGTCTTGTGCTCCTAGGAGGATGCAGGGGACCAAAAACGAGCAAAAAACAGGCCCATTTTTTGTCAAAAAAAATTGCATGCATAACCTTATAAAGTGCTGCTGGAGGCTGGGAGGGGCAAAAAATGGTCGGGTTCTTTTTGCTCATTTCTGCACTCCCCAGACCCCAGGAGCTCTCTGAAAGCTTCGGGAGGCAAAAAGTGCTGTATTAACAGCAAAATGTGTAACAATTAAAGAAGATAATTATATGAAACTGATGCGGCATATTAAACTAGATTTGGAGAAATGAAAAGATCTGCAACTATCATTAACAGGAAGAATAGCTACTATAAAAACGAATATTTTACCAAGACTATTATATTTATTTCAAACAATTCCAACACACTAGGGGAAACATTTTGAAGAATTAAATAAAATAATATCAAGATATATTTAGTTAGGAAAAAAAGCAAGAATAGGTTTGAAAATGTTGCAAGACTCCAAAAAAGAAGAGGGGGCTTTAGCCTACCAGATTGGGAATTGTATTACCATGCCTCGGTTCTTATCTGGGTGAAAGAATGGATCAACTTAAGGCATATAAGATTAATAATTTTAGAAGGTCACAACTTTCAACTAGGTTGGCATGCTTTTTTATGGCATGGGAAGAATAAGATACATAGCTACTTCTAAAAATATCACATTAGGAATGCATTGTTATCAGTATGGCTTAAAATAAAAGAACAACACTATTCGAAAATACCAGTCTGGCTTTCCACAATGGAAGCATTGGTACATCAAAATGTTATTAATATGGAAAAAATTTTATGATATAAAGATACTTTGAACAAAAGAGGGGAATTAAAAACTACTAAGTCCCTGCTTAGTTTTTAATATGTATATTGGTATCCATACATACTTAGTTGAAAAAAAAAGATAAAATAATAGACTGGAAACCAGGGATATTTTTATTGGGCATTTTACTGGAAAAATATGATGAAGGGACTATATAATCGATTTTACATGTACTAACTGCAGCCAGAATTGTATTTGCACAACAATGGAAGAATGATGAGATCCAGGCAGATGAGTGTGTAATTAAGAAAATATTAGAATGTGCAGAAATGGATAGACTAACACTTATTGTTAAGGATAAAAAAGAAACTGAACATTTTTAATATGGGATTTATTTTATCAATAGGTAGACAACAGAAGCAGAAGTTAGAAATGGGGAGATGTAATAAGAGGAAATGTTAATATGAAGTTGTTAAAGTAGATAATGTTAAATATTATTGCTATTATATTATCAATGTTACTGTGATGAATACTATTGTAAATATTTTATTATGTTTGCTTAAAAAACAATTGTACCCAGACTACACACTGTTCATGGAAATTGAATTTTTATATGTTATATCAATAAAATAAATATGTAAAAAAGGAGTTTTGTTCATCTCAAAAACAACTATATTATGGCATAAAAGTAGCTCTACAGACCTAATTAAGTTATTATTTAAAATGTCATATTCTTTTTTGTCTATTATTAGAACAATGTTTCAGGGCTGGATTCTTAATTGACAAAGCAGCACCAGGTATGTATGACTGTGACTCATTGCCTCACCTGCTGGCTAGAAGTATCATCT